TAAGCATAAATTAACATATATACATATATAACTCCACCCATAGTGTTATACACTGACCCAAACGTCCTTGCCAATAAACATACATACAGTGGTTCCTAATCACCACTTCGTCTCACCTCCCCCCTCGTCATAAAAATCATATATTTCCAATGCCCGCCATCAGCCGACCTTATCCACGCTCGATGGGCACGACACCTCAGGCAACCTAATGTTTAACCTTTTAAGCAGGGGAGGTTGAGACCTAAAAAACTTGTTCATCTCATTCCATATACTTAAACGTAACCACTAAAACTCAATTGGCAAGGACATACCCCCGCCACAACCCCGCTGTTTTACACCTAAAATCAGCCGAGACCCCACCATAACCAGCCATGGCCTGTTCACCCACTTCTTGCAGCGCTAGATTAACATAGGCCTATTCCAACCTCCTGCAAGCGCACCCATCCCCTCGAGATAGCTAGGCCGCATCCGGCCAAACCCTAAGGCGAACTGTAATCCCCCAAGACGAACCCAGAAACCCATCTCGTCAGAATTTTACGGCATCGCACCAAGGCACTCACATTGCTGAGCGCACTGCCGACAGGAACGGGCGATAGCCTCAGCCTAGCCCCTGAGAACCTCTGGGAAGAAAAACAGAATGCGCAACATGTCCAGATTGAAGAGCACCCCATACAACACCGAACCCATGTCATTCCACCCAGAGATGACAAAAACCCCCTGGTACCTCCAAGAGGCGGGACAGCTGACCCCGTACGAGGAAGACCACACCCCCACCATGTAACTGGTGCCAGACCACTGAACCTCCGCTCCCGAAGGCGTAAGATCCAACCACTCGCCCCCGCCTCCTGGCCCAAATTACACACGAGCATCCCACCATCCCCTTTCCAGGGGGGCGGGGGGGGGCTGTAACCGCGGTGAGAAATCCATTCGGAGACCAGCAGGGTGAACATGAAGGAACCCACCACACTGACTCCCAAAATTCGAGCCCCCTGAACCATTGGCGCAGGCACGCCAAGCCTGGCGGCGACCGTAGCCGTCCCAAACCAGAATAAATGCCCCTTGAACTCCCCACCAACTTTCAGGCAAATGACGGAAACCTGCACCGCCTCCGATCAGAACGGAATTTGTCAGGCCATCCTGCGAACCCGTTACATCGTGTTATGAGTCCAACCATTACCCCATGCATTCCATCTACCTTAGGAGAAAGCGGAAAAGCCAGGGCACGTCAACTCCGAAACATCCAAGAATCGCACAGATTCCATCAACGCATCAGCCACACAGCAACTGACTTACCCGTCCCAACGACAACAGAAGTCGAGTGTCGAAACCTGAAATAAGTCCGTCCACCAAAACACCCCACCACTTGCCGACAACTGTAACATGAACAGGAAGCCGAGCCCTGCCAATCACAGAAATCACCCCTAGCGCCCTCAACAGACAGAACCAAACATATAGATGAGCAATCCACTCCCGGAACCTACAAGGAAACGTCCCCATCCGTCCCGATCACTCCCGCCACACTGGAGTGGGCCCCACACCGCCTCATAGGGCGACCCACAGACCAGCTTCATCAGACCGTTGGACCAGGCGACCACCTCCACTGCCCTAACATCGACCCCGTGACACCTCTGCCCGAAGTACGCCCAATAATGACCAAGACAGAGCGTCGGCCACCACATTGGGAATACCCGGACACAAAAAACCCCAGACCAGTCGTCCCTAGATTCAAACAGCGCCAAGCCAGGCGCTGCAACCAGAGTAACACTGGGGTAAAGTGTACTGTTACATGACAAGACAGCCCGCGCCGCCCCACGATGGTCCCAAAGGAACACCCACCTACCTGTTCTAGAGCCGGGCACCCCATGCCTACCATGCCACCAGAAAGGGGAAGCTCCAAGAATCCCAAAGTCTGCCAGAAAACCGATCCTTGCCAGTGTAATGGGCAAGAGTCAGCACACCATTGAAAGCCCAAATTGGCCCAAAACCCCCCAAAACCTGCTGCAGCAGCAAACAGCTGGAAGTCAGCGGAAAGACTTAGGGGTGGGGGGGGCAGATTGCACAAGCCACCGTTAAGGGAGGCCCAGAAGGAACCCCATACAGTCCCAAGGGCAATCCCAACAAGCAAAGCCCAGCGAACCCAGGAGAGTCCAAAGGTAGTGCAGCCTAAACCCGCAACGCTCCTCAAAACCACCGACGCATACTGCCCGATGTCCCAAACCACAGTCAGGGGCAACCGACGTCCCTTTGCAGGAATCGATCCCACTATCCAGGAGACTACAGCCCGTATCCCAACCTATGGATATGGCCTGGGCAACGGAACTCCGAAACTCATAAAACTACCCCAGGAAAAACACTGTAGCAGCAGAGTGCTGCACCGACGGCCCCACACATAAATGACATCGGGAGCAACCTACATGAAGGCACATAACCACCCAATCCTGACCGTCGGGAACACAACCTGGAAACAATAAACCCGATGGGCGTACCGGCAGTAGCCGTAAAACCGATTCCACAGCCGCCTTTGTCAGCAAGGCCCCACAGCCCCACCCACGCAGCCCGCTGCGCCGAGCCATCATCCCAAACCTAGCCCCTGGAAGGAAACGACAACTGAGCAAATAAGTAATCTGGAGATACTGACCCTGCTCCTCCTCCTTGGGCACCACAGTGAACTCCAGGGGTACCCTAAACGACTGGGAAGTAAACTTATAAGCGTTCTTGGTAAACTGGACCCACATCGCCCGATGGAGCTCCCACATGAACTGAGGGCCCCCATCCCGACCGATTGCAGAGAGGACGGAAAAAACACGCTGTGCTGAGGGGCCAGGTGAGCCCCAAAGAAATCCAGCGGCAAAACCCATCCAGCCCCAGGCCAAGAAGGGTCGCACTGCCAACCGTTGACGAAAGTGCAAAACGTACCTCCACCAACCCAGCTTATCACAGGGACGATACGCATCCCGAGAGTGTCCTGACCGCTGAACCACGCAGCGCCGACTCGGGGAGCCCTGTCCGATATGCGCCCTGGGGTGCATCCGATCACAGCATGCTCCCCACGACCCTCCCTGAGCCCCTAATGTCCCCCTTAGTCAAGGGACCCCCATGGCAGGAGGGAACATCCTTCGATAAAAAACCCCATTCTCCATCTGCTCCCTAGTGGTACGCGCAAGCCAAGCGGGCCACATGAGCTCAGCAGCCCAGAGTCACGTGAACCTGGGAGGCATCGCCGGCGCTATCAGCTGCGCCAGACGCTGCGGGAAAGCGTACCTAAATGTATAATACATACTGAAAAAGGAAAGGGGGTAACCTAAATTTTGTTTTATCGTGGATTCCCCATATATATAATTTTTTTATTTTATTCTTTTTATATATTGAATTCTCCCCCTTGTACTTGACGTTGGATTCCTTTTGGGTTTTTTTTTGTTTTTTTTAATTTTTTATATATTTAATTTTTTTTTTTTTATTGTTTAGTCCAATAGGTAATTTACCTTGTATTTCTGTCCTGTAATTTTTTCCCTGTCTGTATCAATTTTTTTTTTTTTTTTAGGAAGAAAGGAAGAAAGAACGTACGCACGCGAAGCGCTAAAAGAAGGGAAATGTACTCACTGGACGCAGCCTGGCGATCCAAGCCCGGCACTGCGCTCACAGAAGGCTGAGGCAAAGAAACAGCAGTTCCAGCATCCACAGAAGACATCAGCTGTGATCCAGGCGCCACCTGCTGGACGGATCCATGAACTGCAGCAGCATGTAAGGTAGAGAGGGGGGGAGCCCAGAGGGGATGCAGATAGGGAGGGATAGAGAGAGGAGGAGGCGGGGGTTTAGAGCAGAAGAGGGGGAGAGGGGGTGCAGGCCCACCAAAGAGGGAGGGGGAGAAGAGAAAACCAGGAAATGGGGGGGACCAGGGGGCCCAGGCACGGGAAAGCTGGGCCCCCTGGAGGAAAATAAAGCCAGCCAAATAGGGAGTGAGGGAGGGGAGACAGAGCCCTGGGAGCCTTCCTTACTGGCAGAGGAGGCTCCCGACGGGCAAGGGGACCCCCCCAGCGGCCCACTCACCTCCCCGCCGGCCGCGGGGGATCTGCACAGTTGCCGGGCGGCCACCCGACGCTGGATCGCGGGATCCGCCGCCCACCGCCCCGGCCCGCAATCCAGTACTCAAGCTGTGTCAATCTGCAGGCCCAGGCAAACAGGATCAGGAGGACAGAAAACTGTTTGCTGGCCCGAATCCCAAGTGGCACTGAGGTAAGACCTCCCCCACACTAACTTACACAGAACATAAACCCACCCACACATTCTTTCCCAACCAATCTCCTGCATCTATCCCCACACTCCTACATGTGCCCTTGTCCGCTTAGCTGCGCTATCTCCCCAGGGCCTGTCCCATTGTTCTCCAGCAGGGTGTTGTCCCAGGCACTCTGCCAGACTAGTTGGAACTGGTTTGGGCTGGAAAGTTTGGGCTGGAAAGCCATGCTTCAGTGGGCTTAAAGGGAAACTCAACCTAACTTTTTAACCCCCATAACTCTCGAACCCTTGGTCCGATCTGGGTGATTTTTGAATATGTTATTCACCCAGATCAGGGCTATCAGATGATACCATTTAGGGGTGCACCCTATGTATTTGGGGTACATCTAGAACTTGGGGAAAATATGTACATTTTAATTCTGTTAACAGATAAGCTGATGGAAGGAGATGTGTTGGTTAATGTACTAATTATTGTGGGTGGCTCCCTTGCACAGGAGCATTGCATAAAAGCAGGGGTTGTGTGATTAAAAGTTAGTTTAGTTCTGCTCCTGATACTGTGTGTCGTCCAGTTATTAGGAAAGGTGATGTAATATTACTGGATTGCCTTGCTGATTGTGCTTGTTACCCTATTGGATTTACTACTTGTTCCTGAGCCACTCTAGGATACCAGCAGAAACAGGCTGTGGGAAATCAGCTCTCCGCTACATTGGTTGGCAGCGTCAGGATCCAGACTCACAGAGGAACAAGTACCACGAAAGGCTACAGCACCAATGGGTCACGGATGGAGATCGATTACACCACATTAAAGTGATCCACTTTAAAG